AATAATTATTTTTAATAAATGTATTGTGTTTATGTTAAATCATAAAGTGTACGAATCATTGTCCTTCAAATATATATATATATGTATTTCCTCCCTCCTACGTACATTATTTTTTGGTTATATATATGGTTTCTCATTAAATTAAAGCCTAGCTAATTTTTCTAGGAGTGTATATGGAAGTGCATCATTTCTCCCTCACCTTTAGCAGGTCCAACTCTCCCTTCTACTGTTCTAAAAAAGGCCCTATACCACATGCTGTTTCTGCACCTTTTATTTCCGTTTGATCGATGATCAGATTTGATCAGATCGACATTTCGGGGGTGATGATCTGCAGTGATCCGAATGCAGAAGCAGCAGGGTCTATATATTAAGGTTTCTGTTTTATCAAGTTTCTTAATTTTACATGTATAGCAGGTAGCACAATATATATATTATATTTATTCATGTAATAGTTTATGAATTAGGGTGTTTTAATTAGTCATTTAGTGATTAGGATTATGGGTATATATATAGTTTACATATCACCCCTTGTAACATGGTTAATGGACACATTATTTTTCTGCAATAATGATGATGATGATGATGCTCGTCACAGAGTAATGGGAACCAAATGGATGATAACGAAAGTGGCAAGATCCAATTTTCCAATTAAATGGATCTGATTACTGTTATATGGGACCAAACTGATATAAACAAAAACAATAGTTACGAATTTCAAAAGAAAATAAATGGTCTTGATTCTTAATGTTTTCAAGTTAATCAATAAAACTATATCACTCTAGGCATCACATACCTCTTCAGTGATGATTTATTTTAAGAAAATGATTGGTATATATTCTAGTTCAACACATGTTACAATAAATTTATTAAAAAATTATTATTTTCAAAATTAAATTCATGGCAATAAATTTTTCAAAAGCAAATTTTAATAATTGAATCAAAATATGTTGTGTAATGTGTTAAATTAGAAGGTACACCCATTATTATCCTTTATTTTATCATATACCTCTTCAGTTATGATTTATTTTTTAGTCACATTAAATATGTGTTTTTTAAATATTAACATTCACGTTCATAGATGTACAAAAGTGTAGCACATCCATAAATTGGGATTAATTATAGTCATATTTAATTTATGATTACTTACATACACATAAAATAGATAATTCTTTTTGAAAGAAAGAAATTGTAAGAGAATTGCAAACAGCATATATAAATATATATATATATATATATAGAAAAAATGTTTATCTATTTTACTTTATAAAAATTAAGAAAAAA